TTGAATGCTTTTTCAGCAACTATGGAGATGATCATGTGGTTTTTGTCCTTTTCATTCATGGGATGTATGATGTTGATGGATTTTCAAATATTCTACCATTTTTGCATCCCTGAAATAAATCCTACTTGATCATGATGGATGATCTTTTTGATGTGTTTTTGAATTCTATTTGCTAATATTTTGTTGAGTAGTTTTGTATCCATATTCATCATCATCAGTGATGTTGGCCTGTAATTTTCTTTTTTGTGGTGTCTTTGCCTGGTTTTGGTAATAGAGTAATGCAGGCCTCGTAGAATGAGTTTGGATGTATTTCCTCCTCTTCTACTTTTTGGAAAACTTTAAGGAGGATAGGTATTAGTTCTTCACTAAATGTCTGATAAATTTCAGTGGTGAAGCCATCTGGTCCAGGAACTTTGTTCTTAGGTAGTTTTTGAGTGCCAGTTCAATTTCATTGCTGGTAATTGGTCTGTTCAGATTTTCTGTTTCTTCCTTGCTCAGCCTTGGAAGGTTGCATTTTTGTAGAAAGTTGTTCATTTCTTCTAGGTTATGCAGTTTGTTAGCATGTAATTTTTCATAGTATTCTCTAATAATTCTTTGTATTTCTTTGGTATCTGTAGTGATTTTTACTTTCACATTTCTGATACTGTTTATGTGTGTAGACTCTTTTTTTCTTGGTAAGTCTGGATAGGGGTTTATCTGTTTTGTTTATATTCTGAAAGAACCAGTTCCTGCTTTCATTGATTCTATTTTTTTAGTCTTGATTTTATTTATTTATTCTCTTATCTTTATTATGTCCCTCTTTCTACTTACTTTGAGCCTCATTTGTTCTTCTTTCTCTAGTTTCATTGATTGTGAGTTTGGACTGTTCATATGGTATTGTTCTTTCCTGAGGTAAGCCTGTAATGCAATATACTTTCCTCTCAGCATGGCCTTCACTGTGTCCCACAGATTTTGCACTTGGTTGTTCTCATTTTTTCTCCATATATTGCTCTATCTCTGTTTTTATTTGGTCATTGAACAATTGATTATGTAGGAATATATTGTTAAGCCTCCATGTGTTTGTGGGCTTTTTCGTTTTCTCTGCATAATTTATTTCTAGTTTCATTCCTCTGTGGTCTAAGAAGCTGGTTGGTACAATTTCAGTCTTTTTGAATTTGCTGAGGCTCTTTTGGTGGCCTAGTATATGATCTATTCTTGAAAATGTTCCAGGTACACTTGAGAAGAATGTGTATCCTATTTCTTTTGGGTATAGAGTTATGTAGATGTATGTTACCTCCATCTGTTCTAATGGTTGTTCAGTGCCTCTGTGTCCTTACTTATTTTCTGTCTGGTTGATCTGTCCTTCAGAATGAGTGGAATGTTGAAGTCTCCTAGAATGAATACATTGCATTCTATTTCCCCTTTTAATTCTGTTAGTATTTGTTTCACGTATGTAGGTGCTCCTGTGTTGGGTGCATAGATATTTATAATGGTTATATCCTCTTGTTTGATTGACTCCTTTATCATTATGTAATGTCCTCCTTTGTCTCTTGTGACTTTCTTTGTTTTGAAGTCTATTTTGACTGATACAAGTACTGCAACTGCTGCTTTTTTCTCCTTATTAGTTGCATGAAATATCTTTTCCCATCCCTTTACTTTCAATCTGTGTATGTTCTTGGGTTTGAAGTGAGTCTCTTGTAGGCAGCACATAGATGGGTCTTGTTTTTTTATCCATTCAGTAACTCTATATCTTTTGATTGGTGCATTCAGACCACTGACATTTATGGTGATTAATGGTACTTATTGCCATTGCAGGCCTTAGATTCGTGGTTACCAAAGGTTCAAGGGTAACTTTCTTACTATCTAACAGTCTAATTTAACTCAGTATGCTATTACAAACACAGTCTAAAGTTCTTTTTTTTCTTTTCCTCCTTTTTCTTCCTCCTCAATTCTTCATATATTAGGTATCATATTCTGTACTATTTGTCTATCCTTTGACTGACTTTGGTGGTAGTTGATTCCATTTTGCACCTGTTTAGAAATTAATTGTTTAGTGTGATTTTATTTCTTCTGGTGACAGCTATTTAGCCTTAGGAACCCTAAAATACACTGTAGAGATTATCTGTGGGAGATAAATTCTCTCAGCTTTTGCTTATCTGGAATTTGTTTAATCCCCCCTTCAAATTTAAATAATAATCTTGCCAGGTAGAGTATTCTTGTTTTGAGGCCCTTCTGCTTCATTACATTAAATATATCATGCCACTCCCTTCTGGCCTGTAAGGTTTCTGTTGAGTAAAATCTTGTGATAGCCTAATGGGTTTTCCTTTGTATGTGATCTTTTCTCTCTCTCTGGCTGCTTTTAATACTCTGTTTTTATGCTTGATGTTTGCCATTTTAATTATTATATGTCTTGGTGTTGTCTTCCTTGTGTCCCTTGTGCTGGAAGATTTGTGTACCTCCATGGCCTGAGTGACTATCTCCTTCCCAAGATTGGGGAAGTTTTCAGCAATTACCTCCTCAAAGGCACTTTCTATCCCTTTTTCTCTCTCTTAATCTGGTACCCCTATAATGTGAATATTGTTCTGTTTGGATTGGTCTCACAATTCTCTCAATATTCTTTCATTCCTAGATATCCTGTTTTCTCTCTGTGCCTCAGCTTCTTTGTTTTCTTCTTCTCTCATTTCTATTCCATTTACTGTCTCCTCTACTTCATCTAATCTGCTTTTAAATCCTACCATTGTATATTTCACTTCAGATACTGTATTTTTCAATATTTGTATCTCATTCCTGAATTCCTCCCTGAGTTCTTGAATGTTTTTCTGTAGCTTTGTATGCATGTTTATGATTTTTATTTTGAAATCTTTTGTAGGAAGATTGATGAGTTCAGTTTCACTTGGCCCTCTTTCTGATGTTTGTGGGATTTTTGTTTGAACCAGGTTCCTTTGATGTTTTGTATTTGTAGGTGGCACTCTCTAGTGCCCAGAAGCTCTACTCTCTGGAGCTGCTCAGTCCCTGAAGCAATGGTGGGGGTTGCAGGCGAGCAGCCGTGGTGCCTGTCAGGAGGAAAGAACTGTTTTCTGGTTCCTGGCTGCAGTGCCTGTCACCACTGCTAGAACCAGTGGGCCAGGCATACAGGGAGAAGCCTCTATGATTTGCACTTCTAGCTGCCATAGACAGGCCACCCTTTGGCTGGCCTGAAGCAATGGCTGGGGCTGTTGGTTTGCGAGCTGGCACGGGCTGGGAGGAAGGCCCCATAGGCTGTGTATCCTGGTGGGGAACCTCATAGCTACATTGCCAGTCATGGGGATGGAGGACCTGAAGCTCTTGAAAGTTCCCAACCTGCTGGGCAGAGTGCACCCAGACAATTTTGTCCACCTGCCATTTCTCCTGAGCAGCAAGCTCTGTGCAGTCCTTGCCCCTTTAGCAGCTCTCTCAGTGTTAAGAAGTCTCTCAGACTGCCCACCTTTCTATTATTCCAGAAAACTGGATGTGGATCCCTGTTTTCCACAAGCAGCTGGAATCTCAGTCTGTCCAAGTATTCCAGTGTCTTAGCTTTACAACCCCTCTACTCTCCAGAGCACCATAAAATGTAGATTTATGCTCCCAGAGCAGATCTCCAGGGTGAGGTGTTCAACAGTCATAGGCCTCCATTCCCCCACTGCTCCATTTCTCTTCCTCCCTCTGGTGAGTTGTGGTAGGGGAAGAACTTGGGTCCCTCCATATCACAACTTTGGTACTTTACTCTTTTACTTGAGGTCTGTTGGTTTTACTATATGTGGACAGTCTGCCACAGCTTTCTTTCCTGTTGCTCTTTCAGGATTATTATAAGTTCTAGCTATATTTTCATATTATATGTGGTTTTGGGAAGAGGTTTCTGTCTCACCTCTCATGCTTCCTTCTTTAATCCTCTCTGTGATTGGAAAATCTTATGAATAACAGTTTACTAGAAAATTTTACAGAGAGTAGGATTATGGTAGTCTAATAATTTAGTCTTTTATAAATATTTTTTGACTCAAATGATATAATGTACCTAAAGATATATCATTATAATATTCTCTTAATGTTCATATTAAATTCAATCTATTGATTTTATTAACTACTATAAAGTATTAATCAATATTTTGTACATAAAATTAACAAATCATAATCCTCATTATAACAAATCACAATCCTCATTAGTTACTGCAATGTTTTATTTTGCAATAATAGGGATGCATTTTACTTCAGAATTTTAACATATTTAGCATTTAAGAATTTCACTGAAAGTTATATATAGAAGGCTTTTCCATACTTGAAACTGAATATTCGTACATTAATAATAATATAAAATAAATTGTGCTTTTAATGTCTTAGATATTGTTATATTGACTAGATATAATGATCACCAGTGTAATCACAAGATCACTGTTAAACACAAGTTCAAGAACATGAGAAATGTACAGCCACTTAGCTCTTCAGTTTTCCAAGACCAAGAGTGCAACTGAAGCCAAATTGGGCTAAATCCTCAGGCCAAAGCTCAACTTTGTTACGTCTCTTCCCTCTATCAAGCATGAAGTCAAGATAGGTATAAAAGAAAAGGGTCAAGGACCTCAGGAACTCATAAATTATTTGGCACTTTTTCTATTTATATTCATTATTACCACCATATGTGTCCTAATTCAAGGTCATTCATTTTTACAATAATTTTTTTGCATGTTTAAAGATCCTCAAGTAACAATCTGTAGTGAAAATTTTGTTTTGGGCTCTATCATGCAAAAATGTGTATGTGTGTGTGTGTGTGTGCGTGCGTGTGTGTGTGTGTGTGTGTGTGTTTTGGGCCATCCAAGTGTTCAATACATATATTCCACACTTTGGACAAAAGGAGATGGAATATGAAAAAAATCAAAAGATAGACAAAGGCTTCCCAGTATCTCTGTAGAGGAATCCCAGTTCATCTCTAGATTTGACTTGCTTTTATTTATTTCTCAACAGGTGAGATGAAATTGTGATTAATAATAATGTCATCTATCTTATCAAACTAGGAACAACCACCAAGGAATCCTTAAAAACACCTCCACTGTCAACAGTTCTTTCATTAACAACAGTTACAGGTGAAGGTGAGTGATGACTCATTTTGCTATCATTTTTCTTTTATATATATAATTATAATCGTCACCCTTTTAAGTGTACAAATCAATGGTTTTTAATAACATCACAAAATTGTGTACCCATTACCACTTTCTAATTCTGGAACATTTTTACCACCCCCAAAAGAAACTTGTATCTATTATAAAAAAGTCCCCATTGTCCTCTTTCCCAAGCCTCTGGAAATCATTAATCTACTTTCTGACCATATAAATACAAATGGAATGATATGATAAATGATTTTTTTGTGTCTGACTTCTTTCACTTAGCATAATGTTCTCCAGTTCATCCATGCTGCAGCACTTATCTGTAGCTCATTCTTTTTTATGTGTGAATAGTATTTCATTGTATGGATATACCTCATTCTGTTTTTTCTCAGTTGATAGACACTTGGGTTGTTTCTACTTTCTGGTTATTATAAATAATACTGCTATGAACATTCATGTACAAGTTCTTGTGTGACAATTTTTTTTCATTTCTCTCTGGGTATATATACATTGAGGAGCAAATGCTGAGTCCCATGGTAATTCTAAGTTTAACTTTTAAGGAACTTATTTCAAAGCACCTGCATACCCATCAGAAATATATGAGGGGCCCAATGCTCCATTTTTTAGTCAATACTTATTGTTATCTGTATTTTTCATCATAGTCATTCTGGTGGATATGATATGGTATTTCATTGTGGTTTTTATTTACATTTTTCTAATGACTAATGATATTGAGCATCTTTTCATGTACCTTTGGCCATTTTTAAATTTTCTTTGGAGAAATATCTATTCAAATCCTTGTCTATTTCTTAAAAATTGGGTTATTTGTCTTTTTATTGTTGAGTTGTAAGAGTTTCTTTGTATGTTTTGGAGATTAGACCCTTATCAGGTAGATAATTGAACATATTTTTCCCATTCTATAGGTTGTCTTCATTCCCTTGATGGTATCCTTTGAAGGACTAATGTCTATAATTTGATGAAGTAAAATTTATCTATATTATCTCCTGTCATGTAGAGGGGCAAAACTTTGCTTCTACTCATCTTAAGTTTTCAGGTGGATTCTACTAAAAAAACAGTCTAACAAGAGAAAAACAGTTTATTAATGTGGAATGTGCACATAACATGAGAAACCTAAAATGAAGAGTAACTTAAAGCAGTGGCTTAGAACTTTGGTTTATACAGCACCCTCAACAAAGAATAAATTTGTAGAGAAATGACAGGAAATAGGAAGGCAAAGTTTAGGTTTTCAATGGAATGAAACTAATGGAGTGAGTTGTCTGCAGATTCCTCTGATGCCTTCTATGGGCTGGTGAGAGTCTGTTTCCAATAAAAGAAGAATTTATAACCTGCTTTTAGGCAGAAGTGGGGATCTGCCAGATGAAACTTAATAAATATCAGTCACCCGTTTTCTTTTGTCTTGAAACTAGGTTTTGAAACATTTCATGATAGTAGTAAAATTTGAAAATTTATGGCTGTGGCAGCATTAGTCCCCACATTTTTCATTCTATGCCTTTTAGGTCCACCATATATATATATATATTTAAAATATTTTGGTTACCTTCAAAGCATTCAAGATTCCTTCCATTGCTTAATTAATAATGTGTAATTGACAACCTGTACTGAATCAAGTGTAGGCTCTAATGCCACTTTCATTTGTATAGTATATTCCACATTAATAATAGGCAAGTCTCTTAGGAAAAACTTTGGCATTTTATCCCCAACTATTCTATTATTCTACTCCATATGTGTTTCATCTGGCAGATCCCCACTTCTTTCTTAGATATGTATTCCCTTTTCCACCACTAAGACTGCTGGGTCTGCTTTTTACTACAGAATTCTTTAAGCCATGAATATAGCTTTTTCATGGTTTCCCATTTCAGCTTAGCAGAAGAATTTTTGTCCAAAAATTTCTGAAAATGTACTCCTGTTCTGGTATTTTCCAATCATGTGTTCTTTGAGTGCCAGTGAGTGGAAATCTTTAAAGCAAAATCTTTACTCTAATATGTTCATCTAACATCAACTGTTGGGTGAACTTTCATATGTCCATGCTATCACAACATTAATTTCTGCTTTCCTACAATATTTGTTTACTTCTTCAAATGTTTTCCTTTCAATTTAACACTTCCAGATTTTCTGAAGTTTGTGCCCATTTCCATTCTTTCTTTCTCACATGCAGTGTTAATGCTGTAGCTTATATTTGAGTGTATGTTATATTTTGTTTGTATACCAGTTCCTGAAAACTTTTGCTTAAAGACTTATTTACCCATTGTCTATGAGATCTTCTTACAACTATCAGTTTCTCCAGCATGCATCTCTCAGCTGCACTAAGACTCTGGATCATTATAGATGTTTGCTGTGATAAAATGGTAGCCAACTGGTACCTCATCAAGTCACCAGCAATTCAGGCTTTCAACCTACTTTATGGTAGGATCATATTACACTGACTTACCCTCATCTCTGCCAACATCATATCTAGTTAACACTATGCACGCACTACCTGGCATGCCTGTATTTTCCTTACTAACCCAGTGTTCCCCATACCAGACTTTAAAAAGACTGAAGGGCATTAATGATTCTGTTCTCATAATATTTGTGCAAATACAAATTGTTTCAAGTCATCTTATTCCCATGTCATTTTTCAAAGTTTTGCTTATTGCTATTTTGTTAATTTTCCTTTCCCCCCCCCACAAAAAAATAAATGAACTAAGTATATTTGAAAGTTTATTCTAGTTACTTCTTATTATTCCTCTCCTGATGGCTGTTCCACATACCTGAAAATTCTCTCCCAAACAGCATGGGAACCATGGTACCATCTTCAACTACTACCACTTCTTTACCTCTTTCCAGGATAGCTGATGATTAACTTTTGCATCAGAAAGGCTTGGATTCAGATTCTGGCTCCCTCCTGTTACAAGTTATGTGACTATGGGGAAATTATTTAACTTTCTGATCGTTATATATAAAATTATCATAAATATTATTTAATTCATAGGATTACTGTTATGATCAAATAAGATAGCCTACAGGCATACAGGAAAATGTAATTAACTGGATCACCAAAAGGAAAACATCAAAAAACTGGATTTCTAAATCTTGATCAGAAGACTTTTAGTAACTCATCTTCAAGCTGTAACTTGATGTTAATATTAATACTAATCATGCTTTCTAGTGACTTATTACACTCCTGATGGCTGCTCATTCTTTGTATATAATTAGGAACCACAACCAATGGTGTTATGAAGGAGGAGTTCACCAACACAGGTGCAACAGTGACAAATATTTCACTTCCAAATGCTGTTTCAACATTTCAAAGTTCCCAACACAAGAGTAAGTATAAGGATTTGTGCTGAAACATTAAATTTTGTGCTGGATAGATCAGATTCAGAATGTTTTTTAGTACACAGTTAGCAAAGATTTGTGTGCCACCTATATTGTCTCCTAGTCTCTACCAAATGGGATGATCATGTGGTAACTTTGCTTTGTACAGGGATGATTTCTCCTTCTATAGCCCAAAAGGGTGGGTGCCAAGGAAGATTAATCCCAGGATGGGCAGTAACCTATGATATCACCTGGTACAAAATGAAATAAATTTAGAAAACAGGTTAGACAGCTTTGATGAAATAGGAAACTTCTTAGTAAGAAACAAATAGCAAAAACTGACCGTAGAAGATAGGAAGTCTGAGAAGAACTAAAACAATTAAAGATATGGCAGTAGAAATTATAAATGGTCCAATGAAGAAAGCTCTAAGCTCAATTGGGATTTATATAAAATATTTTCAAAAAAAAGATGCCAATTTTTCTCAAGCCCTTTCAGGAAGTAGAGGATAAGGGGCTGCTGCACCAAAAATTATCTGAGACCAGTATTACCCTGATACCAATGCTAAAAATTATGAAAAGAAAAAGCAATTAAGGAAAATAGACACCAATATTTTTCATGGACATAGATGTAAATATCCTTAATAAAAAAATATTAGCAAGCCAAATTCAGTAACATATAAAAAGGAATAGAAAACATGCACAAGTGAGATTATCCAAGAATGCAAGGTTGGCTTAAGATGAAAATCAAGTAGTAATATACCCAATGAATCACTAGATGCAGAAAAAGAATTTGACAAAAGTTAATGCCCATTTCATATTAAAACCCTCAATGAACTAGATATAAAATGTAACTTCTTCAAATTGATAAAGGGCATCTATGAAAAACATACATCAGACATACTTAGTAGTGAAAGACTTCATGCTTTCCTCTTAAGACTGGGAACACAGCAAAGTTGTCCATTCTTACGACTTCTATTCAAAATTATAACCAAAGATTCTAGATATACAATAAGATGATAGATATAGATAGATAGGTAGACAAACAGATCCATTTATCCAGATTAGAGAGGAAGAAATAGAAAAATTTCCTAGTAGGCTACGTGATTACCTATGTAGAAACTCCAAAGAATCCACAATAAAACTACTAGAACTAATAGAACATTTCATATCACAGGATATAAGACATACAAAAATAAATAATATTTCTGTATGTTAGCAATGACAATCCAACAATAAAATAGAGGAAATAATGCCATTCACAATACGTCAGAAAAATAAAACATTAAGGAATAAGTTTAGCAGTAGACTTACAAGCTTTGTATTCTGAACTACAAAATATTCTTGTGAGAAATTAAATGTCTAAATAAATGGAGAGACATTATATATTAATGGATTGAAAGAGTCAATACTTACGATGTCAATTTCCCTCAAGTTGATAAATAACTGATTAATAGATTCACTGTAATCCCTGTCAGAATCACCCCCAAGTTTATTTTTTGTATTTTTTAGCAATTGGTAAGCTGATCCTAAAACATATAGAAATGGAAAGGACCTAGAATAGCCAAAATATTTTTGACAAATAATTTTAAAAGTTGGAGGACTTAGACAAGCTGATTTCAAAACTTACTCTAAAGCTAGAATAATCAAGACAGGGTGTATTGAGATAATGAATATTAATAGTAACATTCTTTAAAACAGTCACACTGGAAACATCCAAATGTTCGTGAAGTGGTGAACTGGAATATCCCATTGGATTTTCCATTTGGAATGGATATGGGATATTGCAAAACTTGGGATATCCATACAATGGAATACTATTCAGTAATTTAGAGGAATAAAATATTGATACATGCTATAACACTATCAACCTGAAAAACATTACACTCAATGAAAGAGGCCTTTGATAAAACACAACATGATGATTCCATTTATATGAAATATCCAGCATGAATGTTTTTATATGGACAGAAAGCAGGTAAGTATTTGCCTAGGGCTTGAGGTGGCACTGGGGATTGGCTGCAAAAAGGCTCAAGGGAGTTTTCTTGTTATTGATGATAATGTTCTAAAATTAGATCACAGTGATGGTTGCAGAACTCTATAAATTTACTGAAAATGTTAAGCTGTATACTTAAAATAAGTGAATTTTATTTGAATTTCTTTATGAAGCTTTGTTTAAAAATGGAAGGAAAAAAATATTGAGTTAGGCCAATCAAATTTCCTTCCTGGGTAGGTGGAACTAGGTAACCCAAACAAACAAAACAGTGACCAGCTGTGAGAACTGAAGCAGCAAGGTGGTAGTAGAGTAAGTCAGGGACAGCCATGATGTTTCCAATAGAAGGCATAGGAAGCAGGTTTTGTGATTAACAGAGCTAATAGGAAGAACAGCAAGAAAGTATGTAGGGAGATGAGAGACCATATGAGCAAGATGAAGTTATTCCTGAGAGAAAGAGTCGCAGGTCCTAGGCTCCCTGGTTTCTGACAACATCCCAGTTCCTGTTTACATATATCTTTACAACAAGCACTTCCCACATCCTGGCCTCCGTGATATGAAGCCATCAATACTTTTAGTCAAAATAGCCTGAGTAGAAAAAATTATAAACAACTAATGCAATCTTGGCCATATCCACTGTCCTTGTCCTTAAGAAGCAGTTCCAGATAACTCACAGTCTCTGTCTCTTCTTGGGAGACCTGAGGGGTGGATGGAGGTGGCAAGTGAGAACTGAGGATGTCCAGAGCCCACTCTTGCCTAGAAACAGATTAGGAACATCCACTTTGCCCTTTTTATTGTACCATTTTAAGCACAACATAAAGGCTATGTAGAAGGAGTCTAATCTCATACCATAACTGTAAACTAATAATTTTGTTTAATGAGATAATCACCAAATAGAGGCATTTGAAAAGCAGGGTCATTTCTCCTTCACATGAAGAACATTTCCTTGTAGTGGTGTTTTGGTTTCTATACTTAGAACTTATTTTGTAGATACATGTCTGAAAGTTACCTTTAGCACATCAAAACTCCCTCCATCTCATAATACAATTGCCCCAATTATAGAGAACAAAAGCATGCATCTGCAAAATGTGTAGCATGTGAGGATTAAGTTCAAATGATCTGTACTCTGCACTAGTACCCACCCATTCAGTGACTGATGAGAAAAAGGTCATTAAGGGACCATGGTTTATTAAAATCAGCACTTAATACCGAAGTGGGTGGTCAGCCCTATGAGTCACTTAAGACTACTGATTTTGCTTTGATTCATACAGTAAAATAGCCTCTGAATCTCAGTTCTAGGGACTATTATATTTATTTAGCTTCTAATCACAGTTTGAAGTGGCTTTCTTCCAAGTAGTTTTTAAAACATACACCCACAAAGCCATTTCTTGAAAAATGAAACACCCTGGAAAGCAAGAGAATGGAATGAGGGTATTTACTGCTCCCTTTGTAATTGCCTTTTGATTAACTAGTTCTGTACTAAGTCCTCTAGATAATTTTATTATAAAACTCATTCTTTGGGCAGCCATTTCTCCCTAGACCTCTCATTCCTCAAGGTGCTTCCTGCTTGGCATGGAGTCCTTTCCACAGGATGAGTGTGCACACATTCCCACTGGGCATGATGAAATCAAGAACCTGCCCAGACTACTGGGCAGCAGAGCAGTGCTCTCCCTTTCCATGTCCACCCCCACACACAGAAACATTCAGAATCAGCAGAGCTACGGCAGAGAGACAGAGAGCAAAACAAACTACTGACAGGGGAGGGTTGATCAGTCATTCATCTCCCTCTTAAATATGTGGGCCGTGGGTCCTTGTAAAGTGACTACCAAATGAAGGCATTGTGGGTACATCATCTCAAGAGCAGGTTTGATTTAGAGTAGAGAGGAGTTAGTGAGGTTTATTGCTTTACTCTTTAGAAAGATGAAACATAGATCAAAAGAGAAGCATGTCCTTAAAATATTTCTTTCTAATCATTTCTCATTCTCTTGAAGTTGTATGTATTTCTTCTATTTTTATTCTGCCTGTAGAAGACACATTCCTAGAATTCTAGAGTTTTTGAGATAGAAATCATCATTAACTCAGCATTCTGATTTTATAATTAAAGAAATGAGGGCACTTAGAATTAATTAAGTTACTTACTTATTCACCAAAAATGTTTTGGAGGGCATCTGTGTGCCTCCTAGATTCTGGGGCTGGCCAGCAATCCTAGCACTTCTTGCTCTGTAGATGCACCACTGTGATCCCTGCCTCCCTTTTCACAGCACCTTTTCCTGTGTGTCTCCTCTTATAAAAACACTTGAATTTAGGGTCCACCCTGATCTCGGATGATCTATTCTCAAGATCCTTAACTTAATTACATCTGCAAAGACCTTTTTTCTAATAAGGAATGAAAACACAACTAACTTTTAATTGGGTGTATCATATGCTTGACAAGTTAGTGTTCAGTAATTATAACACTAGAGACTGACTGACTGAATGTAAACCTGTGATTCTGTGTGGTTCTCTCGCTGTTGCCCACCATGCCAGATTTATTCTTGACAGTGTTTTTTTTTTCATCCTGCCTTTCTTATTTGTATACCCTTATTCCTTCTTCTCCTCTTCCTTCCTCTAATTGTTTATTCAAATTCTACACATCCATCAAGGGCCTTTTCAAGATTTTGCCTCAAGTATTTCCCCAATTTAATGACTGTTCCTGACATGTATATAATCTGCATTATTATTTATCTGGTACTTCCTTTAAATTGATGCACTTTTTATTCTCAATTTGTTTGAAAAGGAAACCATCATAAATGAAGAATCTGTTTCACTTGGCATAAATTAAGAGGAGCTATCAAATCACTATCATGCAAAAAGAATATAATTAAATTCTAGCTAGATTGTGTTGCTTGCCAAAGGCTCTAAGTTTCAGTCTTGCTCATTGTTTAAAAATAAATCAAGATAAGCACTTGCTAGGCATTAATAACATATTTGCATCAAATAGAAATTTTCAAAAACTTCCTAATTGAAATGGCCAAATAAACTGAAGAAAGCTGAAAAGAAAAAAACTTTCTCATGGAGAGTTTTAATCTTATTTAATGCCAATTTCTAGTATTGCCTTATAGACTCTTTCATACAATGCTATGAATCTCATCCTTTGGAAAACATTAGTTTACCCGATCACCCAACTTCATTATCTCTTTTGTGAATTGCACCATTTATCTATGACACTTGTTTGAGAACTTAATCATAATGTATCTTACATGATATTTAATTTCATAGGGGAAGATACAAGAAGAATCTCAGGATAACAAAGTCTTGGTCCTAAATCATGGTTTAGTCAAATCAAAAGTAATGTCATGTATAATGACTCAGTCAATGCTGTATATAGGATAATAATAAGGAAAACTTGAACTGGTCAGAGTAAATTGTTTTTAAGCAAATCTGTTAAGAGTCACTTATGGGAATGGATGCATATATTCCTTCTGCTAGAAATTATTAATGATATATCATGTTCTATGTGTAATTATATTTAGCTATATATGTGTATATATATATATATATACACATATATAGCTGGGAGCACAATATCTTTAATAAGAAGAATATTTAGCAAAGTTATTTGTTGTTTTGTTGTTAAGCTCTCTGTTTTAAAAGATAATTGAGTAAAACTTGGGTTTGGATTAATGTGGATTAAAGTTCAGCAATTTAGAATTTTGTATTTAATAAGACATCCTTTTCATAGAGAATTAAACTCAATAAACAAATTTTTAGTTGCCAATCATTCTGAGTAAGGTTTCGATCTTTACTTAACATCTAAGTTTGAGACTAGGTTAACAGAATGCTCTACACTCATTGGCTATTTGAATTTACTCACTCCATAGGTCAGAGCTTGGACTTTTCTCAAAATGCACATATAATATGAAAGTTATAAGTAAAATCAAGGAATAATTGCCAATTTCTTCACATTTCATTAATTCTCATAACTTTAACCATATCCTGTAGCAGTCATTTCTGTTAAGTTTTTATATCAACAGAACTAAGTCCAAATTTGAAAGTGGCATACCATATGAAAACATTACTACCTGCCAAATAGTATCTCCTTGATTTCAGGAAAAAAGGTATATATTTCAGTTTTGATTAAATATGTAAGACTTGCAGAATTTTGTCATCAGACTAACAATACATCCATTCATACATAAAAGTCAGGACTTCTCATGACACTGAATATAAGGGTTTTGAATTGTTGTATTTATATATTTTTAAAGATGCAGCCAAGTCTTAGGGTACAGTTATTTTTCTTTTATATATGTCCTCCTACAATTATTATGCAATTTTGAACACTGAATAAAAGAAGTCAAATAAAAAATAATCAGATATTGTCTGGTACAGGTTTAAATTTTTTTCATTCTCATTGAAATCTATCAGCAACAATGGTTATGACCTAATATTAATAGCAAGAGGAACAAAAGGTTTTGATTTTCTTATTATTCTAATCCTCTAAAAGCTGATAAATATTTTAACTGTACTTTCCTAACACAGCATTATGAAATATTCACAGGTATTTGAACTAGTTATCAAAAATAGAAATTAACTACATAAACTTTCCATTCAGAAGGAAATCTGGAAAAGTGGGAGGAAGAACTATTTTATTAAAAAGGGTTGGTATTAGAACCAACAGACCTGAATGAGAATCCTGCCGCCCTTGAGAAGATAGCTTCATTTTTTTCATCTAATATTTGCAGATCAGCAGAATGGGAATAATAACATCCCCCTTGTAGACATCAACAAATAATAAGTGGAACTTATCATAAGAGTTACTTTAAAATGGTAACTATCATTATTATAACTTTCATAATACATGTGCATTTTGAGAAAAGTCCAAGCTCTGACTTATGGAGTGAGTAAATTCAAATAGCCAAAGAGTGTAGAGCATTCTGTTAACCTAGTCTCAAACTTAGATGTTTAGTAAAGACTGAAACCTTACTCAGGATGATTGACAACTAAAATTTAGCTAGCAATTTTAAATGAAGTATTCATATTTTCCTGAAAAAATGAGTTCAGGTAGGTAGAATCAGTTTTACTTACTATTATTTTCTTTTTCATTAATTAATTCCATATACTTTTACTAGAGACCTGGTGGAGGCCCTGGAATTGTAGCTGAGTAAAACAAGAACTCTCTGTCCTCATGGACTTACATTTTAACTGACAAGAAACACATTTTCTTAAAAATAAAGTAAAAATCTCTGTAGTAATAATGGTACTGCTAGCAAATGAAACTGAGAGGTGGGCTGGTATGATGGGAAATGAGGAGGCAACTTTAGATCAGGTAGTTGGAAAAGACGTCTCTGTGTGGTGGCATCTGAGCAGAGCTGTGAGAGGTGGAAGGGAGCCAAACAGCCTGGGGAACAGCAGTGAGGCACAGGGAAGAGCACACAGAGACGCCTGAGGAGGGAAGAGCCCCACGACGTCTCTACCATGGGGAGGCCACGCCTGGCAAAAAGGGGCTGAACTGTTAGAGATGAATTGAGGAGCAAGGCTAAGGCCACATCCTCTAAAGATTTGCTAGCCATAGTAGGAAGAATAAGGAGCAATGCAAGCAGCCAAGCTTAAATTTTAAAAGATTTTTCTACGTGGCTATTGCTGGTACTGAGGGGAGAGATGTGGGTGCTGGACAAACAGTAGCCAAGAAAGTGGTGAGACATATTTGGAATATATTTTACATCTACAGCTTATAGCAGTAAAAGAAAGAGGAAAATCAAGAAGGCCACTTCTTGTTGGCTTGTGCAGTTGGGGAACAATGGTACCACGCATTGAGCCAAGAGGCAGATTAAAGGATACCAGTGAGTCAACAGTTCTGTTTTGAGCATATTAAATTTGAGATACTGATAGACAGTCAAATGAAGATTCAAAGGGAGCAAATGTATATTTTATCTTATCATTACTGGGCTTCTGTTTGTTTCAAAATTATTTTCTACACTGTTCACTTGACAAATCTTGTTCGTGGTGCATATACTTAGAGTTGTTGAACCAATCTTTGCCTGTAATTCTTTCTAGCAATTTGACTTGTAGAAAGGTCTTCTGGACTATATTTATTCTAAAGGAATTCCCTAAGAAGCAAAAGTACCTGTCTGAACCATCCTGAATCTTCCTTATGTCAGAAGTTGCATCCTGTCTTAGTAGGAATACAACACAATATCAGCACCACTCATGAAACTCCTAATGCAGGATCTGTGGTTGTCTGTGTTACTTTGGCAAATTCAAGATGAAAAGTTGTACCCAGCAAACTGTGGCGCACAGGCCAAATCCAATCCCCCTACAACTGTTTTTCTAAGTGAGGTTTCATTACATATACCTATTCTTTAGGTATTATGTATGGTTGTATGCACATTACAAGAACAAAGTTGAAGTGTTGCTACAGAGACTTAAGGTCCACACAACTGAAAATACTTACTATTTGGCTCTTAAAGAAAATGTTGGCTGCCCTCCTCTAAAGTTTCTTCTAATCATGAAGCCTCATGATTTTATGATTTGAGAAAAAGTGAATTAGAAATTATTTAAAAATCTGTATCCATTCACCACCTGTAATCATTGTGAGAGATCTGTTATTCAATGTTTAATTTTAGTTCTTTTCTTTTCTTTTCTTTCCTCTAAAGCTGAGAATCAGAGTTCAACCAAAACAACAGAAAGACCAGGTAAGTTGATTTTCTTTTCTCTGAAGTTATTCATGTGTAAAATCTAAAGAATGAGACAAATTAGATCATTTTGAGGAAAGGATGAAATAGTTCAGAGGAAAGAATTACATAACAACTAAAGTGTTAAGGAGAACTTTCATTAAAAAAAACAACATGTAGGAACAACAAATGCTGGTGAGGATGTGGAGAAAGAGGAACCTCCTCCTACACTCCTGGTGGGAATATAAACTAGTTCAACCCCTGTGGAAAACAGTATGGAGGTTCCTCAAAAAACTCAAAATAGAAATACCATTTGACCCGGGAATTCCACTCCTAGGAATTTACCCTAAAAATGCAGGATTACAGTTTCAAAAAGACATATGCACCCCTATGTTTATCACAGCACTATTTACAATAGCCAAGAAACAGAAGCAACCTCAGTGTCCATCAGTAGATGAATGGATAAAGAAGAGGTGGTACACATACACAATGGAATATTATTCAGCCATAAGAAGAAAACAAATCCTACCATTTGCAACAACATGGATGGAGCTAGAGGGTATTATCCTCAGTGAAATAAGCCAGGCAGAGAAAGACAAGTACCAAATGATTTCACTCAACTGTGGAGCATAAGAACAAAGCAAAAACTGAAGGAACAAAACAGCAGCAGACTCACAGAACCCAAGAATGGACTAACAATTGTCAAAGGAAAAGGGACTGGGAAGGGTGGGTGGGAAGGGAGAGAGAAGGGGAGTGGGGGGCATTACGATTGGGACATATAACATGGGGGGGCATGGGGAAGGCAGTATAGCACAGAGAAGACAAGTAGTGACTCTATAGCATCCTACTACACTGATGGACAGTGACTGTAATGGGATATGTGCTGGGGACTTAATAATGGGGGGAATCTGGTAACCACAATGTTGCTCATGTGATTGTATATCAGTGATACCAAAGAAAAACAAAACCCACCAAAGTGCATTTTGTAAATGGAATTTATGCTAGCCTTGTTACTAAAATATGCAGTCATTGTTAATAATCTGAAAATTAAACCAAACATATCACTAAAAAAAGAAAAAAAAACATGCAGACCAGGAGAATCAAAGTATGTGACTGCATGCACTGTGGCTGGAGTTAGTGGAACCAGCTGTGGTAAATGAATGAAGCCTGTGGAGTTGTGCTCTGCCCACAGTTGACTGTTACTGTATTGATATGCTTCTCCCTGAGGTACGGTGTGTCTGTGAGCTGTCTGCTCTGTACTTCCTAACAAACTCTGATCCCGGCATCCATAGAGATGACATTATAAATCATAGTTAAGAGCCTAAAATGTTATCACTACAAGTGCTCATGTTTTGCCATCTTTAGTTTTAAACTGAATAAATTTCAGATGGGCCAATAGGAATTGATAAAGATTAGTTGTGCAGGGAAGATAGTGATGTTGAATCTTCTTGTTGTTTTTAATCACAGTTATTTGGGGGATTTTTATTTTCCTGCATTCCACCTTATACTTTTATAAATGACATATCTCTTAGGTTTTCAATCTTAGCCACTTTTGGTAATATAAAATGAGAAATATGTGAAATAAACCTAGAATATTGGGTAACTTTTAAAAACTTAGGAAAATAAAACCGTGATAATTATGAGTGTCTCTAATGTCATTTTCACAGCAAATGTTCTAAACAATCATCATAGTATCTTCTACCTCTTGTTTGAGAAATTTGAAACAAATAATTATGCTTTTAACTTTTAATCATTTATCTTCTACATAATAAATCCCCTGAATAAAGAAGTTTATTTTATACTGTTCTCTTATTTCACCTCATCACCCTATTTTTTATTCTTATTTCCATCAGCATAGTCTAGAAATGCCCTAGAAAAAGTACTGGAAAAACAAAGCAAAGCAAAACACACAAATGGTGCAAACAGGCAGAGGGCAGAGGGCAGCTACGCACTTCAGGAGAAGCCCTTCCCCTCTTCTTCATGAATTGGCGTCTAGGAAAGGTTACAGGTGGCCGGAATAGTCAGTTCCTTTTAAGGAAGGACTGAAGCAAAGGCTGTATGCAGTGGACAGCTATGTTTCACCATGCTAAGCATTCTTTCATGAACCCTTTCCTCACCTTTCTTAACTTCTTTTCTTTTTCCTTTTGTTTAAAAGATCTATATTTACATAATGACAACTTTAACTGTAATTGATGTTTAAATAAATGAGGCCATTTAGACTCTTTTAAACATAGAAAAGATGTTAAGAAAGGTGAGGAAAGGGTTCATGAAAGAAGTGCCTTTCTGACCTCTGGACTACTCTGCCTACTCTTTTTTCTAATCCTGAGTTCAAAGGTAATGAGGAGACGGAAAGACCCACTAAAAAGCAATACAGGGCTGCTTATTCCCTAGAGATACATGCAGGTATCATGTGGCCATCACAATAATTTTTATCAATTATGAAATTCAATTTTCTTTATCTTGTCATTTTCCCACAGACAGGCACAGCTAATAACTTTTCCTTGAAAATGAACTCTGATTTCTTTGATAAGAGACCTCAGCTCTGAAGAAAAACAGATGGACATGTCTCAGTACACTAGGAAAGGAATAGCCATTTGCCTTTGATTTTCTGGAAAATACAACCATATTACTCAGGATTCTCCAAAGAAACTATATATATGTGTGTGTGTGTGTGTATATATATATATACACACACACACACACATGAGATTTATAGACAAGGAATTAGCTTAAGTGTTATGGGGGCTGAGAAGTCCCAAGATTTGCCGTCAGCATGCTGGAAGCCTGGAGGCCCAGGAGAGTAGATGGGTGATTCCAGCCCAAAGCCTGAGAATTAGGAGTCAATGGTACAAGTTCCAGTCTGAACGCCAGCACATACAGGACGCAAGAAGAGGCAATATTTCAGCTTGAGTCCAGAGGAGGAGACAGACAGATGTCCCAGGCCAAGGCTGTTAGGCAGGAGGAGTTCCTTCTTACTCCTTACTTCTTACTGAAGAAGGGCAGCCTTTTTACTCTAGTCAAGGCTTCAATTGACTGGATGAGAGACACCCACATTGGAGAACAATATGCTTTACTCAGCGACTCATTCAAATGCTAATCTCATCCAAAACAGACTCACAGACAAGCCCAGAATAATGCTTGAGCAAATATTTAGATATCTCATGGTCAAATCATGTTGACGCATAAAATGAATCATTACAACAATATTCCCGTAGTGACCAGCACAACCTGTGAAAGCTCTCATTGTATACACCTCCCTCACTTCCCTTAACTGTGTTGCAAAACTTTAACTGCATTGTAGACATTAATTTTGATGTAGAATTAGGAGCCAGAAAAGACCTTACAAGTCCCACCAAACCAACCATGGGCCTTCGGAAAGGAGGATGCTCTGTCCTGGCATATTCACTGTGCTTGACATAATGTGTAACGCCTGGGAATTGGTTCTCTAGGAACTCATATAACGTGAAGCATGAATTATTCTGTACAGAGTGTTACTTCTCTGAGTATTCTAACTTTGACAGAATTTTGACAGTATTGTTCAGTTAGGATCCACTCAAGCTGGATTCTATATTCCATTTACAGCAAAGGAATATTCAGAGGTTTTTGTCCTGTTCTTTTTAACTTGGAAGTTTTATGATGTTTAAAGATTAGTGGAGAATAAAAGAATTCACTTACAGAAGGAGAAATATATCAATACTTACATGGTAGTGGTGAGAACATTCTAAACCTTCCAGAATGCTATGAACAAATTTCACTGATCTCACTGATAATGATGTCATTCCATAAATAAGATTAACTCAACTCACTTAAACTCTGTTGGTTACATGGCTTGATGGAAAGGAAAGAGAAAGGGTTTTGAGTCACACTCAATTTATGTCTTAATTATTCTACCTACTGTCAGATCTGTTACCTTCTCTCTCTGAGCCACAGTATCTCTCACCTTTAAAACACAGGATTAAAAGTTTTTAAGAATAAGGTGAATTAGCACTTATGAAGTAATTAGCACAGTGCCTCATTCATTCTTTGTGTACTGTATATAATTTTCTGAAAGTAATAACTACTTATATTCAAATGATTAAAGAAAAATACATCTTCTTTCTTCAAAACATATTTCTACAAAGTCACCAAATATAAATAAATTTCCACTCACAGTTACTGCGTTAGAAGATGCTATTACCTTAGGTCAGTCACAATGATGGCCTAAAGCAAAGTAAAAGAAACTTAAGATAAAACTTCTTTTTTTGTTTTGCATTGCTTTAAGAATATAACTAGATCAGAAAGGTAAGGTCTAATGATATATACACACACACACACACACATGAGATTTATAGACAAGGAATTAGCTTAAGTGTTATGGGGGCTGAGAAGTCCCAAGATTTGCCGTCAGCATGCTGGAAGCCTGGAGGCCCAGGAGAGTAGATGGGTGATTCCAGCCCAAAGCCTGAGAATTAGGAGTCAGTGGTACAAGTTCCAGTCTGAACGCCAGCACATACAGGACGCAAGAAGAGGCAATATTTCAGCTTGAGTCCAGAGGAGGAGACAGACAGATGTCCCAGGCCAAGGCTGTTAGGCAGGAGGAGTTCCTTCTTACTCCTTACTTCTTACTGAAGAAGGGCAGCCTTTTTACTCTAGTCAAGGCTTCAATTGACTGGATGAGAGACACCCACATTGGAGAACAATATGCTTTACTCAGCGACTCATTCAAATGCTAATCTCATCCAAAACAGACTCACAGACAAGCCCAGAATAATGCTTGAGCAAATATTTAGATATCTCATGGTCAAATCATGTTGACGCATAAAATGAATCATTACAACAATATTCCCGTAGTGACCAGCACAACCTGTGAAAGCTCTCATTGTATACACCTCCCTCACTTCCCTTAACTGTGTTGCAAAACTTTAACTGCATTGTAGACATTAATTTTGATGTAGAATTAGGAGCCAGAAAAGACCTTACAAGTCCCACCAAACCAACCATGGGCCTTCGGAAAGGAGGATGCTCTGTCCTGGCATATTCAC